GTAAAGGAAACGTAGTGTAGGGAGAATCATTAACATTAAAAAAAAAAAAAAAAAAAAAAAGAACAAAGCATACATCTTTAAACTTCTCATTACTTGAGGAAACAAATCTGTGGCTGGAAAGTCTTGTACCATTTATTTTATTGATTCCCATCTCTTATAGTATTCATTTCCAACTAAACAAAGATAACTAACTTTGATAAAAAAGAAAAGGGAAGAATGATGCTTTTAGAACAAAGTAGCAGATGGGGCACGTCTATCTACTAATCTAAGTAAGAAAATACATGCACTTGCCTATGAGTTAGGTTTAAAACCTAAAAGGGAAAGGTTAGTTTATATAGATAATGTCTTTGAATCCAAAACAGGATAAAAAGAAAGCTTGGAAAAAGGTATAATCTGATGTGTATTTCTTATAAAAATGCAGTGGACTATAATTGGATGGCTTATATATACTACTCTTTGACATATTAAGTCTATAGTAGTTGGTGAAAGGCAATTGGGGCATCTTGATTTTCACCTATGATATGGGTTTCCTAATATTCTAGAAATATAGCAAATGCTGATGAAGTTTTCCACTTGATTTAACTTTAAAGATTCCTAGGAGAAGTGATTGGAAAATCTATGTCCTCTGTGGTAAAATGAGAGCATTTATCATATACACTAATTTATTTATATTAAACCAATAAATACTACACATGTGGCTTGCATAAACATATTTATTACTTAACCATAATTAAATTATATTCTTACTTTATTTTTTAACTACTAAAGTTAAATTGCCTGGTTTAACCAAATAGAACAAAAATAAGGGAAAATAATGATAGTGTTTGAGCAAACTTATAATATATTCAAGCATTTACAAATCACGAACTTATCATAACTCGTAACTCCTAAGGTCTATTAAACTAGTTCTCAACAAGTTATTCCACTTTTCCAGCTAGTCTTTAACCTCGAAATGGTCAAAACCTCGCTCTAGCCCTTCAATGACTAGACTTGGGAGAAAAATGAAGCAAGATAAGCTGATAAAATCCTGAATACAGAATTATAAAGTTTGTCCAATCAACAAGTTATACAGAGGAAGTTTAGTAGAAAAAGTGGAAACAAAAGACATAAATTAACATCCTAATACATCCACAGCTAATCAAAACCGAAACAAACAGAGTACACAATAATCACTAGACATATCACATGGTTTTCAACCTATTCCTATATATAACAAAACACAGTCGTAACCTAAGTAGATCAAGAGAAGGGACGAAACCAGACAACCGATTTAACCCAATGTCAAACATGTCAAAGGCTTAGAAAAAGAGGAGTCAGGGATTCAGAATGACTTCGTTGTACTCTCTTTTTACGCAATAAACACAGGGTATTTAAGTACAATGCAAGCGAAGAACATTGCAGCGAAGAAGGCTAAATATTCATTGTGGTTTCTGTGGCAGTTTGCAGCACTACGATGGTGATTGTGGTGCGCGTTTGCAGCATAAATTGGTATGACATTCGACGATCCTTGATTCGAAGGAGATCGAGATTCTTCCCCTCCATTTCCTCCTTTACCACCAAAATGAGCTTCAGCATGGCCATATTTGCTGTTAACATCTATTTCTATCTTTTCATCAACATTATGATTATTAACTTGTTCTTCTACTACTGCTTCTTTGTTATCTGCAAAATAGAAGATTTCTGTGAATTAAAGATTCTGTAATACACATTAATTATCAGATACACAATTTGCAGATAACCATCAGTTTAAAATTGAAATCCTCAAATGCCATCAAATTGAGCAAAAATTTACAACACTAAGAAATTGAGGCACATCAATAAGGAATAGAAAGAAAGAGCCCCCTATCTCCATTGCGGCGAGGGAATAGAATGCCGCACTTGGGATTCAAACCTATTACCTAAAGTAATTTTTAAACTACCTTTGCTACTAAAGGTAGAAACTTCTCTTATGTCAAGTGAATTTAACAATATATATGCAAAATGATTATGTTTTTTCTACCTGCAGAATATGATTTTCCAGTGAAGGAATTCAAAAGTGACAATTGGTTTAGGATATGTTTTTTTATACGCAATATATGGAATATTAGGAAACTATACATCACAACAATATAATTCTAGCACCTTATTGTGACCTACCAATTTTTTTTTTGATTACTCTCCAAAGAATTCGGAGCGTTGACGTAACTGATAAAGTTGCTGCCATGTGACCAGGAGGTCATAAGTTCAAGCCATGAAAAGAGCCTCTTGCAGAAATGCAAGATAAGATTGCGTATAATAGACCCTTATAATCCGGTCCATCTTTAGACCCCGCACATAGCGGGACTTAGTGCACTCGGCTGCTTTTTCCGAAGAATTCCAAAGCAGGAACTAGTGCTCTTAGGGGAAAAAATTTGGCTGGGGAAACTTACCTACTCTATGATTTAGATGACAAGTAAAAGCACATATCCCTTCATTAAAACAAGGGAAATTACAAAAATTGGATTGCTCATGGATCGTCAAATAATGAAAATCAGCATTTCAACTGTTTGAGTTAAACAGAGAAGAAACAGCAAATTTGAGCAAATAAGGTTTAATGAAAGAGGAAAAAGGGTATAAATTAAAGGGATTAGAGATGAAGAAGAAGTACCAGAAGGCAAAATCTTGGCCAGATATAAACCACATGAAAAGTAGAAAGCCAAAAGGAGCATTAATATCATTTTCTTGGTTCCCATTTTTGCTGTTTTTTCAAGAACTCCCATGCAGAGAAACTTGATCTTATTCTCTTGTATTCTTTCCTACAGCCTTGAGCTATGATCTATGCCACTATTTATACCCTTTTGTTTATTCTTCCTGAGTTGATCTTCTCACTAAAAAGAAACACTTTATTAAAGTTAGAAAAGACAATAGTTTCTTTTCCTGTTACACCGAGTGATCTTATCAGTTAGTAAAAAGAGTTGATAAGTCATAAGTGGGGACTGAATATAAGTGATACCAATCTTAGGACACGGTTTTCTGTCTCTAAATTTATTGATTTGCCTAAACCAACGGTGAATCTAAATTTTTTGCCAGCAGCAGCTAGCAGAGTGAGTCTATTGTCACAATTTTATTTAAGTAAATTTATATGTTGGTTCAAGGCATAAATTTCTATCCCAAATTGATGTTTACCAATATCATACGATTTTTCTAAAAAGTTTTCACATTGTTAAAAGTATTTTACACCTTATATATTGTTTTCAAATCTTTTCAATTACTAATACATTATAAGATATTTTGTATACCCAACCATCTACTACTCGAACTAAGCTCGACATGACCCATTACATTGATCCAGTTAATTTTCGAGATTCATTGTGTGCCATTCACATCGTTAAAGCACTTATGACATTCGAAGTCCGCAATTATCATCTTCTAAACAGTGTGCGTCTCTAGGCTCGTAAGATTAAGTAAACCTAGTCTCATGTCATCTCTTTATCATCGCTATACTAATTATCTCGCTAGCTAAGCCCAACAATGCATACATATATTTTTTTATCCCTACTTTTTAATACAGAGATATGTGTACATTTTTTTCCTTAAAAAATACAGTATTTTATTTTTGGTAAAACGACATCGGATGACACCTCTTTTCAAAGGATGTTTCAATCATTGCTCCATCCCACTAGTTTTTATTCCTTAGAGTGATTTTTGTTAAAAGGGTGGGTGAGTATTGGATATCACAATCATAGCTCACGAGTGAGTTATCACTTGGTCTTAATAATCTCACCTTTCCTTTGGGACCATAAATGATGACTCATTTTTTCCCTTCGGTTTATCTTTGTCTCATTTTAGTCAAACCTAAGTAATCTAAATTTATCAGTTTTCCATAAAATTTTCAAAATAAATAAATAAATTTGAGCACATCATTCTCCTTTATCTAATTGTTAATTGGCTTGTGGAAAGTAAACAAAGGGTGTCTAGCTGCTTCATTAATTTAGTTAAGATTTGTTAATCTATATGTAGTAGTCCAATACTTTGTGCCAAACATTATGCAAATTCTTCAGTTGTGGTTCAAACTTGTTATGCGAAGATATTGTTCCAATAACATTTCTAGCCGGAGCTGGATTCAAAATTAAAATATTATGGGTTCAAATTCGGTATGTTTTAAATTTACACAAGTTGCATGAAATCAACAGTATTCGCGTATTATAAGTTTAACTATTAGTTGGAACTTTCGTTGTACACTATTAGTTCTGTTCTGTTATAGTGTTATTATTTTTCCATCTTGCTCTTCTTATTTCTTAGTTGTTACGTGCGAGTATATGCTTGGACCCCTTGTCTTCTTGGACAAATTGGAATTTTCTTCTTCTTCATCATAGGAAGTAAAAATTTTCTTGGAAGCAACTACTAATACTTGTATTAGGTTAGATTGTCTATATCATACTTTTTGGATCCGACCCTTCTCAGGATTCTGCCTGTCAAATCATATATCTATCTATATATATTCTTAAAACTCCATTGCTTGGTGTATTGTTGGCAGCTTCTGCAACAAAGAAGTAACAATCCTTTTTTGAGTTTCTATAAAAGCCATGTTGGAGTTTTGTTTAAATAAAATTAACTAGTAGTTTTTTTTAATGAAAAGGTGTCTACAAAATGAAGGGTTGTATCCTACCCTAATTTGGTTGCTACCAATTCTATTTAAATCCATCTTCTTAACATTCCACCGCAAGTCTTATGCTAGCTTCGTCCCTGTATCTCTGGGCTTGTTCCTCATGACTACCTCCCGTAAATCTGACTCTATAGCTGACTAAATTTTGACATACAATTCTATCATACCTTTCATGTTAACTGTTGTGATCTTATCTTTTGATTAAATTTTCTTCTTAGTGTACAGGGCCGGCTTTTGGGTAAAGCCACTGAAGCCCAAGCTTTAGGCTCCCAACTTTAGTGTCCCCACTTTTTACCCTATAATTATTTTAAAATTAATTATTTTCTCTGATTACATATCTTGGTAAAAACCAAAAAGGAAAAATATCTATGTTCCATAAAATTGGGCCCTTACATGTAAATGCAAAATTTATGAAAAGAATCAAGTGATTATGTCTTTTCCTTATTAAATATTATGTAAATCTTTCTACTTTTTTTTTGGGTTTTCACAATATTCATTTTTTTAATGTTTCTCGGTTCTTACCAAACATTACAACTATTATATTTTTCCTTTATGCCTCCAAGAGATCCTATTGTTCAAGCTAAAGCCTACTAGAAGTATATTGCGAAAGCAACAAAAATTTATTTTCACATCAAGTTAATGAATTAGGTTCTTCTATTCCAATTTTTTAGTATTGGTTTTCATCTAACATTTTTTTTCTTGATATTTCAATACGTATGCATATATTATCCTTTTAATATTTATCAAAATTTAAATATGTCAAATAGAAAGTATGAATCTGGTTATTCAAAACTTAAGAAAAAAAAGTTGAATCATTGATACAATCCCAAAAAAAGAAGATATGATAGTACTCTAGTCGATATACTCAATCAGAAAAATTTTTAATTCTTTTTCAAATGCTTATATTGTTTATAGAATAATAATACCAGTTCCTATAACAATTGCCATTGGCCGCCCTCAACCACAAACTAGAAATTTGAAAGAAACTTTTAAAAACTAAAATTGATAAAATTTTACTTAAAATCAACTATAGCGTAAGAAAGACTGAATGAATTAGCTATATTACCGATTGAAAAGGAATTATTAGAAGAAATTTATAACAAAATAATTATTCATAACTTTGCATCTCAAAAAGCTAGAAAATTAGATTTTAAATAAATTATAGTATATAAGAAAGTTCTTTTTTGTTTTTGTTTTTTTTTTATTTTTGGAAAAACGATTAAAGGCCTCTTATGCTAGTTTGGCTTTAGGCCTCCAATAGTGTTGATCCGCCCCTATTAGTATTGTATACGGTCGAAATCGGACTTGTCTATTGTATGACCGGTCGAGATAGAAACGTGATAGGTTGAAACTCGACCTCGGGTTATATCGAACCAAGGCGCGAAGTTAAATCGTTGAGCTCGTGACTCCGGTACCGAACAAAATCGAGGAAACTTTGTCGAGCCAAATAACGGAAGGCCAAAATATCCGCAATTGGTTAGATATCACGGCGAAAATCTCGGCACGTATCAAGGAGAGTCCGATTAATTAATAAATTATGTTATTTTATACTTTTAATAGAATTGTATCAAGAGTGAGACTCTTCTACTATATAAAGGGGGTCTGATTATTTGTAAAACACATTATAACATGCATCCCAAAGCAATAAACTGTCATTTCTAATTATTATTATCTCACTGCTTTGTTCCGGCACTGATTGTGGCATTTCTTGACTAGAGAGTGACCAACCTTCAAGGCTAAGACTGTCCAATTTGTGTGGTTTGTATTTATTTTCTTCTCATTAATTTCAATATTAATTTGTTCTCTCAGTTGTATCAAGTTATATCACGTATCCTTAAAATCGCGTATAAATTCAATTGTTATCCGATTTTAGGGTAAACAGTTTGGCGCCCACCACGGGGCTGAGGATAATAGTGATTATTTGATACAAATTTCGATAACACACACTGCTTTACACTTGCTCTTTGAAGTGTCTTTGATTCCAGGCTAAAATACAAAAATGTCAAATTCTCGATCAGTACCTCTGCACGTTAACAACGAGTCCGATCATCAAGATGAAAATAATAACTTAGCACCCGGTAACGAGATACCGCATGCGGATCCCGCTGGAATTCCGATAGTAGATCTGATTGATGCTATTTCACATGTGGCTATCGATGCAAACTTGCCTACTGATCCAAAAAATAGCATTTGTGGTGGAGTCCGATCAACAACTCAAAACACACAAAACGTTGAAGGGGACGGGATCAGTCTATAAGTGATCTTCGAAATGTTGCAAATTTTGTTGAAATCGAATCCGTTTTGTTAAAGAAATTCGGAGAGACCCTGTCAAAGGGAGCCATGATATGGTATTACAATTTGCCACCTAATTTTATTGATTATTTTGCTACGCTTGCAGATTCTTTTGTAAAGGCACACGCCGGAGCCATCAAGGTCGAAATCAGGAAGTCAGACCTTTTCAAAGTAAGGCAGAAGGACAATGAAATGCGAATTTGTATCTCGATTCCAAATGGAACAGATGGACCTACCATCGGTCACTAATGATTGGGCCGTTCAATCCTTTACCTAAGGGCTCAACGTTCGAAGCTCGGTGGCTTCACAACAGTTAAAACAGAATCTAATAGAGTACCCGACTGTTACTTGGACCGATGTGCATAATCGGTACCAATCAAAAATCAGGGTCGAAGACGATCAACTCGGGGCTCCTTCCGGGTCCGTCTATCCTATCAGACCCGCCGAAAGAAGCAAGAGAGATATTGAGTGGAACCGAGGACGAATAAAGATCGGTATCAGCCATATAATAGGGATCGGGGAGGCAATGGGTCCGGGCGTAACTCCATGAGAAACGAAAGGAGAAATGACCGAGGTCAGAATAACATGTGACTTATGACCAAAAATGGCTTTGACAGACCCATCGAGCCCAAAGACGCACCAAGGCTATCGGAATATAACTTTAATGTCGATGCTGCCGCCATCGTATCAGCTATCGGGCGCATCAAAGATACCAAATGGCCTCGACCTCTACAGACCGATCCAAACCAAAGGGATCCTAACCAGATGTGCAAATATCATGGCACTCATGGTCACATAACCGAAGATTGTCGACAACTGAGAGAGGAAGTAGCTTGTCTATTCAACAATGGGCATCTTCTAGAATTCTTGAGCGACCGAGCCAAGAATCACTTTAGAAACAAGGATTCTAACAAACGAGCAAAACAAGAAGAACCTCAGCACGTCATCAACATGATCATCAACGGGGTTGATATC